TAATGTTACACTGCTTGCGTGAAATATTCAATTATCCTGTAATATGTGATGTGTTGATTTGCTGTTTTTATCTGCTGATAGTAGAGCATGCTTTACTTTAAAGAGCGACTCCTCGGCGTATGCTTGTTCCCCTGTTAAGGAAGATTTTTCGCTTACTTTCAAACCTGGATATTTTGCTTATTCATGTCTTGCTGTTTCTGCTTAATCTTTTATACCTGAGTAACCAAAGCTAGTTCAGTTAGCATGGTATCCTTTCATTTAGTAATACTATTATGAAGCATAAATTATGTATAGCGTACATGGGATCTTTTGTTTTACTGAATGTTCTCTTCTTAGTGGCAAAAGTCAGTGAATTGTTCGTCCACAAAGGCGTAAGAGTAGTGTACTTAAAGTTGCCCAGTATTGAGTGAAATATGTCTTTAGTAATGAATATACGTAAATCCTCTCAGGTCATAGCCCTGCGACTTACACATGTAAATTGTTTTCCTTCAAGCAATGGTTTAGACAAAGATTAATTCCATAACAGTGGTTTATTTTTGTAAACGCTGAATATCATTGAAAGAATTATTTACTGTTTAAGTGCGATAAATGGAGCTCACTGCTTTGCTTACCTGCACAATAGACGGAACAGGCTCCCAGCAAAACTGAAATAAAAAATTTAAAGACACCTATTTACTTCATAGCTAACTTTGTTACAATCTATTTTACCTTGCGTGGTTACACGTATGTCATAACTTATTAATCATACTTTCTTAGAGGTGATATTTGAGGGCACGTTGTCTGGATTATGTCAACTTCTCTTAAAGCGTTACGATGAACATACACGGCAAATACAGTTTATTTCGAAAGTTTTTGTGTAAAAATCATAAAATATTTTCGCGTTAGTCCATTTATCCGAAGATGCTGATACTTTTCGCAATTCATTTGCACGAACAAAGCACAATATAAAGGATATTCCTTTTTTATCACTGCAATTTTTAATTAACTTTCTGTTACTATTGCTTGCATATTTCAAACCCCATATCCACCTTTCCCTGCGTCCAAATAGAAATGGGAAAACACACGTCACTTTACTAATAATCAACACAGGACGACTGTAGAGAAGTCATGTCACTATATTTCAGGTAATAAAAGTTCTGAATACCAAATTTTGACAACAGCTTTTAGATAAATAAATTGTCTGAGAAGCAGTAACTCTAGCTAAGGATTGTATGATATTTTGAAAAAAAGCCTTTGAATCGGTTGCTGCATATCGTTACTATCTCGAGGCGGGCGCTACTTATATGGGTTATGCTCAACATAATGTATTAGACAACCCCACCTGCCCGATATGTCCAAGGAAAAGGCGATAGTTGTGTGGTACACAGTCAAAAAATAACCTTTATAGAAATCCAAGATATATAACAGCGAGTAAAGCAACTATTCTTATATTTGGTTTACGTGAGGTGTCGACTAAAACTATAAAGAAGTTTTTTTGAATATGAAGGTTGAAAGAACGTTAAAAGGAATATAGATATGAGGTTCATATTTATTACGTCTACACTCTTCCCACTAAAAACTAAATTCACAGAACCCCTTTTGAAATGTTGTTTCTTAAAGGAATGAACAAAATTCGACATGAAACACGGTGTATTAACCAGAAATACTATTGTTGAGCTTGAGAACGCAGCGCAGCATCAATAACGAGCAGGCCTGCACTTAATTAGCATTTTGTACAAGTTGGATAATAATTTTGAAATCACACCTGAAAGTTTAACTATGAACATTAATTCTATGAATACTTGGCATATAACGAGAAGCTTCTGTACGTACTGAGGAGAAAAAGGATCAGCCTAGATTGTCTCATCATGTATCCAGCGAAAAATATGCTCATCATCGAAGTTCGAGGCCTTATATAGCAGGCAAATTAGAGCAATTTTGGTGATTATAGTGCGTCGCATGACCTGTCAAAATAATTACGTAATCAAGTGCGTAACTCGACTCGACAGCTTTATTGCGGGTTTATTGAAGTCGAAAAAGTACTTTTCGTCAGGGCACGCTTTTCTTATTGGATATAAATTGACCTTCTTTAATAGCGCCCTTGAAAAGACACTACGTATTATAGCACGTGAGTAGTCTTACGCAAGAAATCCCGTGCTATGCCTTAATCTGTTTGTACTGAGCTGACTAAAGTATTCTTCCGAAAAGACACCTTATTAAATATAATGAGGTAAATGCAGAATAAATATTTGTTGTGGGGACGCGAACGGTGACGCACTCAGAGCACAGAGCTGAAAGTGCACCCCAGTTGAACCATGCCGGCAGACCTGCCGCGCGCGCTGTGAGCTCACGTGACGCCCCCCCCACACACACGTGCACGGCAATGTTCTAGAACGTCCCGCAGCGTGGGATACCACGCCAGAACTACCGCTCAAGTCCGATAGGCCAGGAGTAGTCTAGAGAGACCAGCGCCTTATAATAGGCTGTACTGGACACGCTGATTCATCCTTCCGCTCTCTGTATTATCCTGAGTAAAGCCTCTTACGATTAGAAACGGCCTTGTCTTCTACTCATGAGTCCTGGAAACATATCATTATCCATCGTAGAAAACGATAATTTCATACAAAATCAATATTAATATCCCTTAATATTCAGGGTCCTGCTCTAATGTCATTTTTATCATCCCCGTAAGAGGAAGGAAGGGGGAGACAAGTGCTGGGACCAGACTGTATTCATGCTGATATTTCAAAAAAAACGTACCCTTCCGTAGGCTTTGAGTGAATTCGCCTCGCCGTCAGCCGGCAAGCTGGTCATCATGCAACCTCGAGCCAAGTCGTTTGCACGTTTCGCCTACATACCTTGCTTCACAATATTGCCAAGGGATGCTGTAGACCACAGCCAATTGTTCGGATCATTGGGCTTCACAAACTGCTGCCCGGTGGTGATTGCCGGTTTGTG